GCATATTGATTTATTTATCATAATATCGAAATATTATCTATTCCGTCATATCACTTAATTTTAATAATCACAGCATTCCCATCAAAAATTTTCGCCCATACGATTAGAATTGATTCTGGTTCTGGAATAGATTCTAAAAATATGTAATAGGATTAATATAATTATCAAAACACCAATCGATGATATTATCTGGATTTTGATTCTTTTTTGTCGGAAATTTATTTAATTCGTCAAAAATTGATTCTGAAAGATTGCCTCTGGATTTTTCTTCATTATAACAGAAACCGAATTGTTGGCATCTTTCTGTTGGTTCATTAATGTTAAAATTGCAACACTTAAACACAATCACAAGTTAAATACTGAGGAAGATACGTGAGAATATGTCAATTACATTATTATTCGTTCTATTGATTATTAGCCAAGATCTATTTAAATTTTACTATAACGGTTCGTGCACCATTACGATCAATAGCTAATTCATTTAAAGCAACTTGAAAACAACTCTTAGAAATCGGTGTAATTAAAATCAGCAAATCATGCGCATAAATACTTACCATTGTCGAATACCTTTCAAATCATTTTACTCGTTTTTAATTTCAGCGATCTTGGTAGTTGAAGAGCAACGGATAAACTGTTATTGGGGTATCCAGGTGGTATTATATGATGACCCCGCTTTTGATCAGGTTTATTATTATCCTTCAAACGGGATAGCAAAAGAAAAATTAATTTTATATGCCATTATATGGGGACGCACATGGGCGATATATTGAGTAATATGGATAATTTTTTAAAGGCGATTTCAAATTACCGCCCTGGCCCGCTATAAGGTATGTAGATTTAGAAACTAATGTGATGATAAAATCATGCTATATGTAACCATAACGATAAATGTTTTCAAATTAAGTTAGTATATTTTTAATGGAAAATTATAGGCATCTCCCGCGAGAGATATATCTCCCAAAAATTTTAAGTTTATTTCGTTGGGATTAGGGTTAGGGTTAATATTTTAGCAAAATATCTAGTGAAATTGCTCAAGGAAAACTTTTAATTAGAGCGCGAAAGGAGGTTTCTTATGCGTATTTTGGAAAAATAAAGGATTTTTGTCAAAAAGGTGAAAAAGTGAGGATTGGTTCTAGGCTAGAACTCGTCCGGAGGTTTGGTTACACAGAGGTTCGGGTTCAATTAATCTATATAAATGAACCGGGATAATCTACAAATCTAACTAAGATGTAACCCTTGTTTGGATAAGGCTTGAAAGAGGCAGGTATAACTTGGTCCGAGTTTAGGGTTACTTGGGTAAGTATTTTGATTATAGGGGTTGGGTCTATGGATTGTCTGGGTCACGTTTATCAGAAGTCACAGTTTGGTTACAAATTGGGTTTTGATTTTGGTACAAATTGGGTTTCGATTTGGTTACGAATTGGGTTACAATTTTGGTCACGGGACATGAATTTATTGGTAGGTCGATTTAACAATTACGAAATTGATCAATTATTCAATCAATTAAAGACACTATATAAAACAATGCAATATAACAATTTGGGCTCTTTTACTTTACTAACAAACTGGTATTAATCAAAGAAGATATCACGGGGGCAAGAATTCAACGATTTAAAGATTTAGGGTAGCAAATTATAACAATTTTTAAAGGGTAATTTAGTCAAAGATAAACACTTCTATACAAGACTTTTCAAGACTCAGAAGGTTATACTTTTTCGAACTCTGTGAGTTGCCTTTATTGAGGAAAGATATTTGTTCTATATATACTTTTCGCTACTACATGATTTAATAACATACATAATAATAATCTTTACTAATGTTACTATTGTCCTATTTACTTACTATATACTATTATTATTATTTTTTGGATAATAATCATTCTACGAATTTTTGTTATTATGTATTTTGAATTTATTCCACCAATTCATCGAATTTCATGAATTCCATGAAATTCGTGAATTTCATGAATTGGTGTGACGTGATCCGAGGTGTCGATCTCCCCTTCACAACGGACGTTTGTTTTTCCTGACACAAAATCGTAATTTTCTATTGGCTAATTGTTGTCGATCATCACGTTTAATTGGCTAATATATATCTCCCGCGGGAGATGCCTAAAAGCACCCATTTTTAATATGCAGATCTAAATGCTTTATGCTCATTTATGCGTTCACATCCTCACATGAAAATATGTATAATCCAATTAGTGCGTGTGATCCGCGCATGATCACGCGCGGGATTTTTAATATGATTCCCAATTCGCCAACCGCCTCGGCCCGAGATTTTTTCATCGGCCAGTATCAATAGAACTTCACGCTATTTTTTAATGATGTATACTGGCAAGATTAGTAAAAAATATTTCGCATAATATGAGTTGGGAAACGTATTTGTATTTCAGGATCACCTATTCATTGTATCTCGTACTAAAATCTACTCACCGGAGACTTTTATATCAAATGTTCGAGACTTTCTTATATGAGTGTATGAAAAAAGAATTATTAAAAAGACAGAGATGTCTTTAAAGACTAGCAATTTTTCTTATAAAAGGGCAGTAATCTCGATTCACTCTCATCGGTAATTACACAGTACAAAACAAATATTCTGCTCTGACCAAATATCATATTCACAAAAAATGATGAACCGAAATTTTATTTTTGTATTCGTTTTATTGGTCATGCTTTCCATAGTTAATGCTATTCCACATCAACTTCATAAAAGAACTACTAATTTTGGAAAATGCACTCTCCCCCCTAAAGCTCCCACTCCAGACCTACTCACTGTAACAATTTCACCTGATCCTGTCGTCCCTGGAAAAAATGACACTTTTACTGTTAATGGAAAACTAACAAAACCCATTACCTCAAGTGACGAGCTTGTTATTGTATTTGCTAACACTTCAGGTATAATAGGCGATATCTTTAGAACGAAACTTCCAACTGGAACCGTAAAAGTTAGTGTAACAGAAAATGTTCCGGTGCCATTCTCATTACCTTCAGATTACAGGATTGGAGTTGCTATTGTCGACCCATCTTTTGAACCACCGGATGTTAAAGCCTGTGCAGTAGCTTTTGTTGGCAGCCCCCCTCCTTCTCATGATGCTCTGGTTTTTCCTTTCTAATAAATTAATTTTAATATTAGATTTAAATTTCGAAAAGAGAATTTACTTTATTATTACTGTAGTAGAATTTACGCATTCTATTTAATCGAATTTAGCACCACAAATAATGAAGTTAAGAATACTAAGTTTAATGTATTACTATAATTCGTCCTGATTTAAATAAAATTTTATTACTATAGCATGCATAAATTTCCAAATATTGCAATACTATTATCACCTTAAAGGAAGTTTAATTATATTATTTTCGATATAGCGAATTTTTCTGCTATCACAAAGTAATAAATGAATTTTTTTTTTCTTCTGAGAAATGTTCAGGTAGGTAAAATAAAATATTGATGTCTCAAAGTAAAATTATTACAGAAACATTTAGTTTACTCTGTATAAATAATTTTTAAAATAAGTGTGTAACTCTTTAAACGGGTCCGTTAGGGTGATTAATCAACCAATTAAATCAAACATATATGTAGACCCTTATCGAATTGAGATTTTCAAGTAATATGATTGGCTAATTAATTTCATATACTATGCATATTAATATCTGATGTCTTATGAACCGGATAAATAAGAATAGTTTAAAAGTCTAAATAATGATATTAACAACACTGTGGTAAACCCATCTTAATGTCTACGACTTAGAACTAAACTCAAAGATGAGAAATTACATGTTTTTTAGGCCGTAAAAATGGTTAATTCACTAAATAAAATGAATATGAATTTTATTCGCTGTTGTAATTCTCAAAGATTTTTGTCCAATCAGCATTATTAAATATGTCACGTGTCGCTTACAATGTTTGCTATCTAGTTTTTAACTTTCTAGTTAATTAGAAAAGATAATTGCATTAATCAATGCGTTATAACTAGTACTTTGAACTCTCGTGTCAAAACTTTAATATTTAAGATATAACGCAAGTTATCTACAAATTTATTCTTTAAGTTATATAAATAGCTACGAAATATTAAAAAAAAATTAAATTTTAAGTACCAAAAAAAACCCTCTTGACAAATTAAAAAGCAGGCTTTTCAATCCATTTTATAATATTTTTATGTTTGAATAATTAATACTGAGAGAGGAGTTAGATTTTGAAGATTTGTCACTTTCGTATAGTAAATTCCTGATATTCGTTTGTGTAACAGTCCAATCAGTAAAAAAACTGTACTAATTGGTTTAACTATTGCCACCGGGAATTACGGCGAGTCAGTCGCTTGACTATCTAAAACCTTGCGTAACCTACGAATGGCTTAGTCGAAAGAGGGCGTTTAGATT